ACCATCTTAAGTAACATATATAGGATGTTCTAAACTGTAAGGCTGTGCAGTCTGTAAATGCATGTAGGATCTAGTCCTCCATTTTTCTGTCTTGTCTTAGAATAATTACAATCAATAATTTCACATTTAAACCCAATTGCCTTTGCCATTGTGTGTTCCTGCTACTGAAACTGTGCTGCGCCTATAAAATTTGATTGCTGCCTAATAAAAAATCTGACATGTGGATTAGAGAAGACAAACATCTACTAGTTTCTCTACTCATGAATAAAAGATTCAGCACCCTTTTGTATTGCCTATATAGCTACAAAACTTCCAATATGGTTTTGAAGCATCTAAATTCCATTCTCTTTGGGTCAGAGCTGATAACCAACCATCTCTTGCACATAAAACATAAAAACCTACTTGGTTGCTAATGTGGCAACAACTAAGTCATGGGAACTACAACTTCCTTTCTGTGAACTGGAAGTTGACAGAAGAGGAGTGGCAATATTGCATGATTTTACAACTCCAATATTATACAACTCATCTGAAAAGACTACCCATATGAGCAGCTCTTTGCAAAAGAAAAATGAAGGCAGTGGTAGCTGATCACCTGTTCAGACTTGGTTCTGAAGTACTACTGATCAAGGCACTAACTAAGGTCATTTCCAGATGACCTGTTTAATGGGCATTCATCCTTATTTGTTTGTGAGGAAATTCAATGACATTGTGTAAAGAAAGTGTTATCCCACACTTTCCAGTGCATCTTACTGTCACTGGTCTTATCGTAACAAGTATGATTATTGGGGAAGCTGGTTTGTTTTGCAAGAGCTTCAAATAAGCTTTGACTGTGTGACAATAATCTGCCAGGATGTGACAATGTTGAAGCACCCTAAAAGTAGACAAATGTTTTATTTTTCTGCTTGCAAAGATTCTTCACTTACTACTGAATCTTACACTATGTGCCTGCAAAATAACTTACTTAAGAAAGCTACATCTAAACAGCTCACTTAAGAATGCTACACTGATGGCTCAGTCAGTAGAGCATGAGACCCTTAACCTCAGGGTTGTGGATTCGAGCCCCACATTGGGCAAAATGTTCCTGCATTGCAGTGGGTTGGACAAGATGACCCTTGTGGTCCCTTCCAACCCTACAATTCTATGATTCAAAAACCCAAGGAAGGCTGCTTATGGCTGCAATGTGTATGCAATTGCTTCACCCCCCATCACTGTACAGGCCAACAAAAAACTGGATCTATCACAGGGTAATGGGGTCATGTGAACATATTCCGAGTCTCTCCAATTTTAGCAGTGCTTACTTACATTCAAGTAATACTGTACTAGTAACTGTACTGCATTCAAAGCTAGTCATTTTTGCCTGGGAATGCTAGGTCTGCAGAGCTATTTCAATACCTGTATATATTTGTATACATCACAGCAGAGTTTGTGCCTGTTTCCTAAATCTCTGAATAAAATACAGTAACTTATCAACCTTATTGTGTTTGACTAAGTGTTACACTTACTTTTGCAACTATTTTTCATCCATATATAGTCAAAATTAGTTAGGAGGGATATTTGCACTCTTTCCACCCAGAAGAGGTGGGTTAGTGTATATGCACCCAAGAATTCTAAATGAACCTCTGCATACTTGTCAAAATGACAGAGTACACCACAGCTTCCTCAGTACGTAATAATATTGTACTACCACGTAGTTTACAAAAATGGCCTGAGTGAATACAGCAGAAATAATTAATCCTACCAGGGTCATGCATGCTTACAGTTAATCATTTGCGAGGAAAGTTTTATGTACGCATTACAACTATATATGGAATAAACCAAGGGTATAGCAATTGACCCTACAAACAGACAGCTTACTTTTCAATGTGAGCTTAAATAATTCTCTTCATTTGGAACATAAAAGTAGATACATATGAGGGGGTAACAACAACAAAAATTCTCTTTATGCTTTTTGATGAATTGTATCCAGCCACAGAAACTATGTTTGATTGTATCCTCCTATTTATCCTTTGGTTTCCATAAGGCAGAAATATGGGTTTAGAAATGCATAAGAAAAAAAGTTACAATCCTTAGCCCAAATACCTTTATGTAGAAGTGCTTTTACCTATCTACATGGCTCAAAAATGCAGTGCCTTTCAATATATTTGGACCCCAGCAATGTACCATCCAAGGTATATCTCACACATTTTAACAATTGTCACACTCAAGGGGCTGTCGTTTACCATCTAGCAAGGTGATGGACATGGAGGGATGCATGTGCCATATTAAATCACTTCTTTTTCAGTCAATTACCCTGTAAGTTAGCACACCTGCTTCAGTTCCTCTAATACATATTACAGTTCCCAATTGATATAGATAGGATTAGTCCTCAGCCAACAGCCATAGTTAACTACATGCGGAGCACTGTGAAAGCACAGCTCTATAGAGCGTTCAGAACAGCCTCATCTCCAGATCTTTTGCCAAGAGCCGAAACATTCTCATTAATGGAAGTCCAACAACAACCCATGTTCCTAATGTTACGATTATAATTCATATAGAAAAACCTAGAGTAGATGTATAGAAACTTAAACAATAATTGGGAAAGGAATCATGAGTTCAAAGTTTTCCACTACTTGAATTGATGTGTTCAGCACCAGGAAACTCTACATGTCCTAAGCACATTTTACAAACAGTGTTCCATGGACTACTTGCCCTTCACAAGACTGGCAAATTTACTGAAGGACATGTCAAAATTATTCCCTTTTCTGTCTTTCCTATCCTCAGAGAAACCAGTCTACTACTGCTTACTGTTCTCTCACTACAGTGAGAACAGCACACAAGTTAAATAAAGAGTAATGCTTGTAACACAATTACAACAGATGCACATTTTGCTTTGCATGTGTTGTCTATTCCTACTCTCTACCCGCAACACATCATAATATAAATGATATTAAATAACCAAACATAGCCAAGTATTGAAACAGATGACCATCAGTGAAGATGGTTGTCTATCAGTAACTTCAACTACATGGTTATAAAAACACCCATTTTTGAAAACTGCCCTGTCACCTTTATGCCTCTTCAGACAGCAACCAATTCACACTTGAGTCTGTCTGAACAGGTTTGCAGCAAGTCATACATAAGGGATTCAGAGGGGCTATCTGCCCTTAGACAACAGTGCTATATGCACATTGTACGCTTGGTGAGATGGAATGGCGTGAAGATTTTTTTAATGTTCAAGCTTCTATAATTCAACTTTAATTATGAGCAACTGGCAGAGAACACGTCCACTCTCTGAGTCATTGAAACATGTAACACAACCTAATGACCGGTGGGGGGGGGCGGGGATAGTGGAACTGGCCACAATACAGGGCAACACATTGTTCCCAAATACTGACATATACACCACAGAAGTACTTAACACCACCTGTCTTTACCCAAGGAAATATAAGCAAGGCTTACTAGGATCCTACCCAGTATCATGGCTTGGTCTTGTGGAATGTGCAAATCTTCCGTATTAAAAAAATGAATGCTACCAAGCATGTTCTGAGCATCTTCCCCTCTTCAGTACAACCACTCCGATATATAAATGGGATTAGGACTCAAGGCACAGGGGAACATCCAGACATGCCACAGCCCCAGAATCTGTTGTTGTAAAATATTAAATTTAGAAACCTAAGACAAGGCACTTAAAGAAGACAGAAGGGAAAAGGGAAAGGTCTACACTTGGGGCTGATACCTAGGTTAGCGGTACAAGTAAGATATGCCTTAGTGAAGTGGTCCCCAATTAGCAAAGTACTGCAAACCACCTATTTTCAAAAGCCAGGCTATGGAACCCCTACTTTTGCAAATGTTGATATCTCTAGGGTAGTTTTTTGTTATGTGAATGGTATATGTGCTGCCGAAGCGAGCACTTGTTATGTGAATGGCGACATAGATCCCCTGGGGTCCAGAGCCACCAACTGGGAACCACTGCCTTTCAGTGCTTTCCCAGACATTGTGGTGAGTTCATGGAAGAGAAAATTGGAAGCAGAAATTTCCCAATTCACAGTTCTTCAGCCCCCAATACTGTCCATGCTTGCCATTCCATAATCAGAGACATGAAGTGCAAGAAAAAGTGGTTAACTTGCAAAGAGAAGGCCCGAGGCCCCCCCCAAACATAGCTGTCAACTCCTAGGGGCCAAGGTCCCTTTGTCACCCTCAGCGAAATATTTGAGAGGTCTGCCCCCCCCATGAGTGGGCATTGCCATTCAAATGGTGTGCGTATGCGATGTCTTGTGATCATTCATGTGGGGTGGGGCTTACCTGGACCCCCAATATTTTATTCAAGTTGGCACCCCTGCCCCCAAGCCTGTGACCTGGACCCCCACCTTCTGTACTTAATTCGGTGGTGGGGGCAGCCAAGGCACTCTCAGCAAGTGGGCAGCCCCAGGGCTGAATAAAATATGGGGGGCAGGTAAGCCCCGCCCTGCGTAATCGGTTACCTGATGCAGCACAAGCACACTATTTGACTGGCCTATCAACTTTAGGACGCGGATGGCACTGTGGGTTATACCACAGAGCCTAGGACTTGCTGATCAGAAGGTCGGCGGTTCGAATCCCTGTGACGGGGTGAGCTCCCATTGCTCGGTCCCTGCTCCTGCCAACCTAGCAGTTTGAAAGCACGTCAAAGTGCAAGTAGATTAATAGGTACCACTCCGGCGGGAAGGTATACGGCATTTCCATGCCCTGCTCTGGTTTGCCAGAGCCACATGACCCGGAAGCTGTATGCTGGCTCCCTTGGCCAATAAAGCGAGATGAGCGCCGCAACCCCAGAGTTGGTCACGACTGGACCTAATGGTCAGGGGTCCCTTTACCTTTACCTATCAACTTTGGGAGGGGCGGCCCCCTCAAATATTTTATTGGGGGGACCTCCGCCCCTAGGGGTTGGCTCCTATGGGCAGCCCAGACCCAGACCTTGACCACCGGCCTGGAGACTGAAGAGGGAAGCTGCGGACCAAGTACAGCAAAGCCCAGTTGTCTACCTCGGATTTCCACACGACGTAGGCGGACGCATGGCTGCTGGGCAGCTGCTGGCCCTTCCTCTGCTGGAGCCACTTTCGGGGAGAGAAGAAGATGCTGTTGGCGCCGCCGCCGCCGCCTGGGGCGCTGCCGAGCGCCGAGGCGGACGGCGCGCGCGCCAGGAAAGGCAGCTCCCACGCGGTGTGCCTCTTGCCTCGAGGGCTCTCGTAGTCGAAGTGGAAGCTGCCCGACGGCGACTTGTCGAGCGGGGTGCTGGGCGTCGAGAGCGACGAGGCGCCCGGAGGAGTCGGCGGAACGGCCGGGCGCAGCAGAGCGCGCGAAGAGAAGGCCGCCAAGCACTCGGCCGAAGGGCTGCCCGCCGCCGCCGCCGCCGCCCTGGCCCGGGGAGCGCGGAGCGAGCCGTCGGCCGCCTCTTCCCCGCGGCCAATGACGGCCGGGTCCAGGCTGCGTGTCTGGCGGAGCCTCCGCTTGGAGAGGCTCTTCGGGGGGAAGGAGGGCGAGGCGCCGGGCGCCGGCGAGGACGAGCAGGAGAAGACGCTGTTGAGCAGGCTGTGCGCCGACATCCCGGCGGCCAGGCGGGAGGACTCCCCTCACAGCCCCAGGCGCCTCAAGGAGCTGCTGCTGCCGCCGCCGCCGCCGCCGCCCTCTCCTCCTCCTGGCCGCCGCGAGGGGCTGCTCCTCGCATGCTCGCGCTGAGGCGGCGGGAGAAGAGTTAGCGAGAGAGGAGGGAGGGGAGACGCCGCCGCCGCTTTTTATTCCGGCGCTGCTGCTCTGGAGCCGGCGGGAACTCACCCTTCCCTCCCTCAGGCACCTCGCCGGCACGAGAGGCGGCTGCTGCTGCTACTGCTGTCGCCTCAACAGGCGGCTCGCGCGCTTCCCTCCTGGCCCGTGTGGCTTCGGTGGCCGCGTGCTTGTCCTCCTGGCCCCGCTCCCGCCAAGTGAACTCCGCGCTCAGAGCCTAATTTGGCTGGAGAGGAGGATGCAGCGGGCGCTTCGCCCTCCTCGCTCCTTCTCTCTCTCTCTCTCTCTCTCCCCGCCGGCCCGGCCGGGGCCCCCACCTGAAAGGGAGGCTTGGCTCTCTCCGCACAAGCAGCCGCGCTCTGAGGCTGACCAGCCCCGCGCGTTGCGTTGCCCGCCTTCCCGGTTGCGCAATGGGCGCCGCTGCTTGGAATCTTTGGTCAGGTCGCTGTCCCACAGCTATTGGATTTCACAGCACGGTGCTGGTCGCTGTCGGAGCAGGGCTTGATCCGAAGGAGGAGTGCGTTGCAGGTGGCTGTTTTTACCTGCCCTCCTACTCCGCCCCCTTTTGCGTCTCCTCGGTGGCTTTTTTTATATATTGCAGAGGAAACGGGACGGTTCTTCTTCTTATGAGAATTGGAACCTGGGAGTTGCCCTGGTCTAAATGTGAATAAAAGAGGAGATGTCATTTGCAAATGCTCTCCATCCCTCTCTCCATTCTAGTAGTTACCTGGCATCGTGGTCACCGGTATACCTAAAAGTCAGAAGTGGGGGAAGAATTCCTACTAGTCTAGAACAGTGTTTCCCAACCTTTTTTGGGCAAAGGCACACTTGTTTCATGAAAAAAATCTCGAGGCACACCACCATTACAGCCCCGTGACGTCAGCGCGCAGCGCACGCGGATCCCACTTATTCTGAAGCTCGCACCACTAGCCGGGGCTCTCACACCGTGCCAGGGCAAGGCGGCGCGGCCCACTGACGTCATCGCGGCTCGCTGCCGCCCTCGACTTCCCTGTTCCCTCCCCTCCCTCGGGTCGCCGTGGTTACCGAGGACTGCAAGCTGCTCGGGCGAGCATGGGGCATTAAGTGGGAGAAGGAAAATTAAAATTAAAACTCGCCTGAAGGCCGCCTCTCCGGATACAGTGGTGCCTCGCAAGACGAAATTAATTCGTTCCGCAAGTCTCTTCGTCTTGCGAGTTTTTCGTCTTGCGATGCACGGTTTCCCATAGGAATGCATTGAAAATCAATTAATGCGTTCCTAGGGAAACCGCCTTCAGACCAGGTCCGGGGACAGTCTGTCCCCCGACCTCTTCTGAAGGCTGGGGGGGGAACAAGGGCTTTTCTTCCCACCCCCAGCATTTTAAAAAACCCCGGGACAGCGGAGGACTTCTCCGCTGTCCGGGGCAATCTTAAAATGCTGGCGGGCGGCATTTTAAAATCGCCCGGGACAGCGGAGGACTTCTCCGCTGTCCGGGGCGATTTAAAAGCCCCTGGGAAGGCAGGCAGTGGGGACAAAGATTTTCGCCCCCCGCCCGCCTTCAGAAGAGGTCCTGGACCTCTTCTGAAGGTGGGCGGGGGCGAAAGTCTTTGCTCCCCCCTGCCTGCCTTCCCGGGAGAGCGGAGAAAGGCAGCGCGTTTCTCCGCTGTCCCGGACGGCTTTTGAAGGCAGGCTTTTGAAAGCCGTCCGGGACAGCGGAGAAAGGCAGCGCGCCATTCCCGTTGTCCCCCGACTTGGCTGGAAGGCTGGCGGGGGGAGAAGCCTGCTCCTCCCCATCGCCAGCCCCGCAAACTCGGGGGACAGCGGGAGAGGCGCAGCGCGCCCTTGCCGCTGCCCCCCGACTTGGCTGGAAGGCTGGCGGGGGGAGAAGCCTGCTCCTCCCCATCGCCAGCCCTGCAAACTCGGGGGACAGCGGGAGAGGCGCAGCGCGCCCTTGCCGCTGCCCCCCGACTTGGCTGGAAGGCTGGCGGGGGGAGAAGCCTGCTCCTCCCCATCGCCAGCCCTGCAAACTCGGGGGACAGCGGGAGAGGCGCAGCGCGCCCTTGCCGCTGCCCCCCGACTTGGCTGGAAGGCTGGCGGGGGGAGAAGCCTGCTCCTCCCCATCGCCAGCCCCGCAAACTCGGGGGACAGCGGGAGAGGCACAGCGCGCCCTTGCCGCTGCCCCCCGACTTGGCTGGAAGGCTGGCGGGGGGAGAAGCCTGCTCCTCCCCATCGCCAGCCCCGCAAACTCGGGGGACAGCGGGAGAGGCGCAGCGCGCCCTTGCCGCTGCCCCCCGACTTGGCTGGAAGGCTGGCGGGGGGAGAAGCCTGCTCCTCCCCATCGCCAGCCCTGCAAACTCGGGGGACAGCGGGAGAGGCGCAGCGCGCCCTTGCCGCTGCCCCCCGACTTGGCTGGAAGGCTGGCGGGGGGAGAAGCCTGCTCCTCCCCATCGCCAGCCCTGCAAACTCGGGGGACAGCGGGAGAGGCGCAGCGCGCCCTTGCCGCTGCCCCCCGACTTGGCTGGAAGGCTGGCGGGGGGAGAAGCCTGCTCCTCCCCATCGCCAGCCCCGCAAACTCGGGGGACAGCGGGAGAGGCACAGCGCGCCCTTGCCGCTGCCCCCCGACTTGGCTGGAAGGCTGGCGGGGGGAGAAGCCTGCTCCTCCCCATCGCCAGCCCTGCAAACTCGGGGGACAGCGGGAGAGGCGCAGCGCGCCCTTGCCGCTGCCCCCCGACTTGGCTGGAAGGCTGGCGGGGGGAGAAGCCTGCTCCTCCCCATCGCCAGCCCTGCAAACTCGGGGGACAGCGGGAGAGGCGCAGCGCGCCCTTGCCGCTGCCCCCCGACTTGGCTGGAAGGCTGGCGGGGGGAGAAGCCTGCTCCTCCCCATCGCCAGCCCCGCAAACTCGGGGGACAGCGGGAGAGGCACAGCGCGCCCTTGCCGCTGCCCCCCGACTTGGCTGGAAGGCTGGCGGGGGGAGAAGCCTGCTCCTCCCCATCGCCAGCCCCGCAAACTCGGGGGACAGCGGGAGAGGCGCAGCGCGCCCTTGCCGCTGCCCCCCGACTTGGCTGGAAGGCTGGCGGGGGGAGAAGCCTGCTCCTCCCCATCGCCAGCCCTGCAAACTCGGGGGACAGCGGGAGAGGCGCAGCGCGCCCTTGCCGCTGCCCCCCGACTTGGCTGGAAGGCTGGCGGGGGGAGAAGCCTGCTCCTCCCCATCGCCAGCCCCGCAAACTCGGGGGACAGCGGGAGAGGCACAGCGCGCCCTTGCCGCTGCCCCCCGACTTGGCTGGAAGGCTGGCGGGGGGAGAAGCCTGCTCCTCCCCATCGCCAGCCCTGCAAACTCGGGGGACAGCGGGAGAGGCGCAGCGCGCCATCCCGCTGTCTCCCGACATGGTTTGGAGGCTGGCGGAGGGCTTCCTCCTCCCCCAGCCCCGCAAGCTCCCAGAGCGATGCCAAAGCTGCGCGCAGCTTCGGCATGGCTCTGGGTCCCGTTCTGGGGGAGGGGGAAGCTCGGGCTTCCCCCGCCCCAGCCCCACGCCTGGCGGTGGGGGAATAATTTTTTCCCCCTTTATTCCCCCCCCGCCAATTTTTCCCGCGGCACACCAGGCAACGTCTGGCGGCACACTAGTGTGCCGCGGAACACCGGTTGGGAAACACTGGTCTAGAAGTCCAACCAAGCTCACAAGTTCTCCCCGATCTTGGGGTGCTTGCAGGGGGCTTAATTTCCAAACAGTTCATTTGCAACAGGGTTTTGTTTTGTTGCTTATCTGATCTTCCGTAGAAAGGGTAAATCCAGATTAAACGGAGCCCAAAAATAGCAGTTTGGCATTTTGATGCCAACAACATTGTATGGATTCTGTTTTTCAAAAAAACAAAATGCATGCAAGCACTGGAAGCAGTGATCTAGAAGCGCTCTTATTCACAGGTGTAAGAAAAGTACTTCCTACATAGTTAGAAACATATTTGCCTATTTCTGGTGTTTAGAAGCTAAGCCCTAACACCCAAAATAGGTTCGTGACCAAAGTTGGCGAGTTGCGCTTCAAACAGTGTTCGAAACTGAGAGATGAAAGCTAGCAGCTACATGGCACCTTAAACTTATGTTATGGGTGCAACAACGGAATGTCTAGGCACACTTTTTATAACGAATACAAAGCTGAATGAATGAATGAACTGCAGCTGAAATTTTATGTTAAATTTTCACATGGTCTAGTCCTTCCCTTGCCCACCCCCCAAATATTCTTAAGAGGGTCTCTTCTCCAGTCTTCAGAGAGTGGCTGGAAGTGGGGAGGCAGAAGAGGGTCCTCCTTTTCTTCCACTCTGCAGTTTCAATCTGAAATCTTAGGTGCAGTACTGCGCCCAGAGCTCAGAAACTGCTTGCACTCATGAAATTTCCTGTCACAAAATGTGCCTAGAATAATGGGGGTTTCGAACACTGACTTCAAATGATTAGCTCTCTTTCAAAGTACCTTGAAAATTTGTACTTCCTGGATCTAGATTTGCCACTTGTTGCAACAATGTAAAAGCAAAATAGATTTTTAAATATCTATCTATCCATCTATATCTATCTCTTTTTTGCACTTTCTCCATGTCTCATGAAAAGAAACTTCATTTTTCCAACACTTAGGCTTTGGTGATTTTTCTCTATATTGTTACAAAAACATGACTGGCTGTATAAACTCCCAACATACGAGCCATAAAAAAATCGCTTGACACATTCCCTTCCTATTATGGGCTGCTTATAAAATACCATGGCAAGCATTCTTCTGTGTAGGCTATGTTGGATACTTTTGCTCTCTTGCTTACGATTACTGTATACATTTATTTAAACAACATGAGCCTCTGGGCTGAGTTCAGAACCCTTTGCTCTTTCCCATTCTATTGAAACCCAGTTGCGTAATACATGTGTAAGCCCCATAGCCACTTTTCTAAAAGATGAATTGCAAATACAAAGCCTGTTTATATAAACATGTTCACAGCAAAGGTTTTCTATCAAAGTTTATCCAAAGTATTTCCCATATGTTCCTCTCTGCAGGGAAAACCCCACATGTCTATTTATTCCGCCATTGTACTTCTGCACAGTGATTTTGAATTATCTGCAGAAAGAGGCATGCACTGTACCTCTTCCCAACAAATGACCAGGATGGTCAATGAGAAGTACTTCCACTGGATTGTGGAGTATCACCTTTCAATTGCATTGGTTCCTTCCAGTTTCCCCTTCAAGCAGATAGGAGTGCAGGCTAATAAGCTGACCCCCAGTTGGATGGCATCAGGAAAGTTGAGTACCCACATTGAGAGCAAAGCAACTTAGTTTGCAAGAAGAGAAAGATGCACAATTATAACTCTTAACGTGTATCTTTGAGCTACTCCTCCCCTTGATAGTGAAGACAGAAGTTAGTTTAAAGACATTAACTGCTGGGCACATTTTTGGACAGAATCACAGATATAAGCAGAGGGAACTGTGAAGCAATTCCTCAATACCCAGGAGGTTGGATTGGACCAGCA